TGCACGGTATCTTGGAATTATATTACTTGGAATACTAATAGAAGAAATATCGGTAACTGAAGTTTCAGAGGTAACTAATCTGTTGTTATGGGTGAAACCAATAAAACGGGTTCTGTCACCACGTTTCATCGGGGTATTTGAGAGTTTAGGTGTAATTATATTGGCATTTACCAAATTGATATCATATTTGATTATTGCATAATTTTTAGTAGGATGCAAAAATACAATAGAAGCAGGTATCATAACAGAATCGGCAAAAGTAACGAATACATCTAGACAATCGTGTGGAACAGCTCTACGAGACACGATGATATAACCTTGTTCAGCATCAATGACTAAGCCAGATGTCTTCACGTTTTCTACAGGTAACGAATCCAAAGGAATTGCTGACACGGTGCTAACCATACATAAAGAATGTGACAAAGTTGCTATTTCAGGGATATCGATTGGGATATCGATAAATTTGGCAGCATGTGGTTTCAATTCTTCCGCTTTGATTGGTTCTGCGACATTCTCAAGATTAAGGATATACTGAATTGATATATTTGAAACTATTTCTACCTTGTACAATTTGGCGATCATATTTATTTATTGAGAAAAACTAAGATGGCCACTTATCAACCATATAGCGAATACTCCACTGGGGGTGGATTTGAAAACTCTGATTCTAGAGGTGGATCTGCAGAAGGTAGTGGTAATTCCCTTCGTATAAGTACATTGACTCCAGTTACAGTTAAACAGATTTTGGAATCAAAACAGTTGATTCAAGATGGACCTTTTATATCATATAATCAAGAATTACACTCTATTTCATTTGTGGGTGTAGTAAGAAACATTACTGATCATACCTCTAATATATTTCTAACAATCGAAGATGGTACTGGTCAAATAGAAGTAAGGAAATGGAGTGAAGATGCTTCCGATATAGCTACTTCACAAGAAAACGCTGACAGCGGTAGCAGCGATTCTCAAATAGCGAAACAGTATAAGATTGGTACTTATGTGAAAGTATATGGTGCTCTGAAAGAATTTGGTGGTAAGAAAAATGTTCAATATGCAGTTATCAAAAATGTCACCTCATTCAATGAGATCATTGCACACCACTTGGAGGTCATTAAATGTCATGCTATTGCTAATGGAAAACTACAGGATGCATCAAGGGTTGACGAACAAGCATCTAATAACAACGATCAATCACTATTTGTAAAAGAATCTGAAACAGGTAGTTCAACCAATCCATTAGATAGAATTTTAGCCTTCTGTAAAGAACAATGTAGCGGAAAAGACGCCAACACCTTTGCCGTCCCAATTCCATTGATTTCACAATCTTTAAATATCGATGAAAATACAGTAAGAGAGTGTTGCAACACATTAACTGAACAAGGTTTCATTTATCCAACTTTTGATGACAATAACTTCTTCGCTTTGTAATTAAGACAAATAAAAATGCGTATATAACGGTATATACTTTTAAATATATATATATATATATATATATATGACCAATTGTTAATGTCATTATGCAAAATTAATTAAAACTGGTTTACTAGACTTTAGGCCCAGTTATTTTCTCACCATATGAATATAATACAAAACCGTCCCTATCTTTAACTTCTATTGGAACTCTGACATTTAGTACAGGCTTGAAGAGCAATTCCCAATCGTATCTACTACGAGGTGTACAGAATAACCATTTCCTCAACATGCTAATACGGACAGATTTGAACTTTGATAAGTATTTTAGGAAACACCAAAGGTTTAAATTGGGTATATCTTTGTAAAATTTTAAATTATTAAAATTATTAATCATATCAGAGTCTATATTATCTAGAACTTCTTCTGAAGTTATTCCAGAATATTGATTTTGTTTTAATATATTTTCCAAGCTCTTTGATATACAATTCTTGACTTGATTGTTCCAGATGTATGAGATTTCATTATCATTAGATTCATGACGATGATCAGCACCTAATGCAATTAAAGTATCTTGATCGTCATTAGCGTTTAAAATCATATGTTCCCAAAAAACGTCTGGCGCAAGTGGAAATACGTTAGTGAACGGGATGTTTATTAAATTAATATTGACATTTTTACATGGAATTCTGTCCCACAAATTTTTATTATAGTGGTAAAAGCTGTGAAACTCAGGAACTTTCAAACGTTTGAAAAATTCTGCTTGGCTTTTTGTTAATAATGCTGGTTTAAATTTTAATGTTGAATTTGTAGCTGATCCAATCTGTTTTCTTGGTATATATCCAAGATCCAATGCTAGGACAACTGCTGATGTTGGAGGTGCAGCTTGAAGACTGTTGTCAACCGGTAAGTCTAACAATGTTTCTGTATCATTCCCTTCTAAGTTCTGTTGATTATTATCAGATTGGTCTTGGGTATAATAATAATTGTCATTAACTGTAGGCACCTTTGTAAACACTTCACTGCTGCAATCTATTGTTAAATTTTTTAGCGAACTAAAACAATTGCTCAGGAGCAGGTCGTACCTACTTGTCATATTTAACAAGCTTAAATCTTTAGTATCTTTGAAATAATCATGGAAAAGTCTCAAAATACCATTTCCTGGCACTATATGACATCCATCCAAAGTCAATGATCTTATAGTTGAATGAAGATCATAGATACCATCATCATTAATTTTGAAATGTAGCGGCACAAATTCTAAAGGAGTATCTAGTGATTCCTTATCAATAGTAAAATTCGTCAACTTTAATTCATCAATTATACCAAAGCAACATATAAGATTTGGTTTGAATTGGACTCTGTTATTACTATTATTATTACTATTATTGTTGTGATTACTAGTGCTAGTACTGCTATTATTAGAATCATTGGATGCTCTTAGTTCTACTGTTTTTACTCTTCTCAAGGAATAGAATTTCTTTTCATATTGAGATACAAATTCAGTTGACACTTCAAAGGTCCTCAAGTCATGGATATTCATCGACTGTTGACCGTTCATTATTTTTTTAAAGAAGTCTCTAGAACCGTCATTAAACACAGAGTACCATAAGGGTATTTTAAAATTTGGTTCAATATTGCTAATTATTATATGCCTTAAATTAGGTAAGTAATCGATAATATCAAGCATCAACTCGATATAAGTGTATTGGACGTACTTGCTTTCCCATTTGTCCAATTTTCGAAATGTATTTCTTGGAGTTCTTGAATTTGAAGTTTCGTTATTACCATTAGAAATCAGTTTAGCCAGTGGTGACATTAAACTTGAAGAAGATTCATTTTTCCTTGTATTTGAACTTGATCTTTTATAACTTGAACTTTCGGAACCACTTGGATCAAAACAAAACGTTCCACCTATGAGATCTTTGTTGTCCTTTTTGTAGAAGGCACTATATTTCAATAAAGAATCTTGGCTTTGAGGGTTAACAAATTCGATGCTTTTGACTAAAAATCTAATGTTCTGGGAACTTGTCTTTGAAATACAAGAAGATTTCAAAGCACTAACAGTATGGAACTCTGAATGGATAACGGCGTTAAATTTCAATAGAGATAATTTTGAATCTAAGACGACATCTTTATAAAGGAAATGATTACTCACGAGGTTATAAAATTTTGAATTAACCACACATAACGATAATAAAGTTGAATAATCCAAAGATTCCAAGATGCGAAACAAAATCTTAGAAGGTAAGGATAACAGACTAATCTCCTTAGAGTCCATACGGTCCCCGATTTTATCGTCTGGATCTCCTATTATATCAGCAAAGGTATTCAATTGCGTAGATTCCTGATTCCTATCATTATTTAAACTGCTGTTCCTAGATTTTCCAAAGAACTGCAAACCTTTCATCGAATAGCAGTGATGGCCATCTACCGATATGCAATATTCCTTCAATGGAGTACTCTGTTTTTAATTTTTTAGAACCATCAGATTCCTTTTATATCATGACTATAAAGAGTCATCAAATTGTTTGTCTATTATTACAGAGATAAAAGTTAAACACTTCGGAATGAAATATTTCCCATCCCAATTATTAACTAAGAGAGGTATTTTTCAATGTACATACAAGAAGAAGTAGTGAGCAAAATATACAAATCGATGAAGTTATCTTGTCAAAGTGATGTTAATAATAGTTGCATCTATTTACAATATGATATGATATGGTGGTATATAAATAAATCAAGGTATTGATAATGCATTTCGGATTATTCTGAACTTTTGTGTGGTAGAGTATGTATTTTTGAATTATTTAATTTATCTTTCATTTCCTTTGGGGCATCTTTAGCGTAATGACCTATGATATTTTTCAAGTTATCAGGGATATCTTCGAAAACCAGATCATCGGTAGATTGAGATACGTTTTCACCTTTTGATTTCATTATATCTTGAATAGTGATGTGATTATCGTTAAAAATCTTTAGATGGTCAGCTATGAGATGTCTGTTTTTACAACCTGGACAAGATACCATGACAGTTCCCTTTGTGTAGGCTTGTTTTGAGATGGTGTGGGAGGAACGGGTATCACATTTTTTACAAGTGAAGGCTAGCATCAACATAGGCTTATCTAGTTTCAAAGTAGCGACTTGTTGTTGTTTGGTCTTGTTGTTGTTGTTGTTGTTCTTGCCATTGTTGTTTAAAGTTGGTGAAGTGATGAAAGATCTTGTCCAAGAGTTTGGTATTGATGAGGGAGGTAGGCAAGTTCGAGATAGCAAAGAGGAAGAGGCCCTGATGGAAGCGATGCCAATACGTTTGAGAAGAATGGAGCCTACCATTTTGAGTTGTATGGGGGGGGGACACTTTCTTTCAAATAGTGAATAGTGCAACTAATTAGACACCAACTGGTTATTTTTAATAACCAGTTGAGTGATGGGTGAGGATGGATAGAATGGGTATAAGCAGAAGTATAAATCAATGAAATGCAAAAGCGAAACTGGAATTTCAGTTCGGTTCAGTTCAGTTCGACTTAATTTTCAATTACTTTCCCAAATGTGGTTCTGCCTGGTCTCTGTCCCCACATAGGGTTGAGATGAAGATGGCATTGAGTTTCGAAAGTGCGAGTGCGAGTGCGAGAGTAGAGATGTCTCGACAGAACAGAACAGAACAG